AAACCATTATACCCTGATTTCCCATTTTCAATGGGTTCAGGGTATAAAAACCAAATAAAAACACATCCCCGAAATGCCGAAGACTGAATGCCCTTGCAGACAATTTAAATGGATGGCAAGTCAGACTGTGATATATTCAAGATATATCTGAGATTGCACTGAAGTTGTTTAAAGTCTATTCTTTCTATTATCGGACATATAGCCTGAAATATTCGGGCTTTGGCTCTGCAAGGGCATTTGCTTGAAACTGAACTCAATAACTGAACACAACACACACTCAACTCAATAAGGAATGTATATAGAGAGAAAAAGATTAGTGTTATGTTAGCTATAGAAATGTCCACCTGTACCTATCTCACCTGCAAAGTCGCCGGCGATTCTTCGTCGCACCGCGGCACAAGGGCGATCGGTCTTCTCGAAGCAGCGGCACCATTCGCGCGTATTGATCGAGCTATCCTGGTCCAGGTCGCAGGTGTCAATGAATGGCTTGATGCAGCGCTCGTTCTGATCGTGCTCCAGGTCGTACAGCTCCTGCAGCGACAGCAATCCATCATTGTTCAGATCCAGATGCCCAAACATCCACTTGGCCTCGGTCTTGCAGGCAGGTGGGAAATGCGCCTTCGACTTTTGGCTGTGCTGGCGACGCTTCTTGCTGTCGGCCATGATCACCGAGAACCAGTCCAGCAGACGATTGCCAATGGCAGTCAGCTGCTGTGGCTTGCACTCGGCCGACTTCAGGGGATAGCCTAGCAGAGGGAAAGTTCACAAATTTATTCATTTACTTCATTATATTTCCCTCTAATTTACCATTTGGATTGTTTTTGTTGAACTTTTGTGGCTGCTTTTCAATGACTTCGTTCTCATTGTAGACACGCATCTTGTGCTTATCCTCCTGGTATTTGGCATCCTGCAAGAGCGAAAGGCACTCAATTTATAGCACCTGCGGTGGATGAATGCTCTTACCTTCTTGTAAGCCGTGTACTTGAGGTACTTGTAGTGCTTGTTGTCATACTTGATCTCTTCGGGCGTGAACGTGTACTGCGCATTGATGTGATTGAAGTGGCGATTGTTGTCCTCCTTATCCTGTCGGTTCGATTACATATGTAATGCATATTCAATTCTATTTGGCTTGACTTACATTCATGATGGTATTGAAGTCGTTATTGTTGCTGCCCATAACATTCCCGCTGCTCATCATGATGTTGTTGTTATTGCTATCCTTGTAGGCCTGCTGTTGCTGCTGTTGTTGCTGCTGCTGCTGCTGTTGCTGCTGCTGCTGCTGGTCCAGGCTGATCTTTTTGCTGTATTTATTGTAGCCACCACGTTCGCCAAGCCGCTGCAGTCTCTTGCCATCGGTGTTTTCTGCAAAACGAGGCAAATTGTTGAAATGGCAAAATGGCCGCCATAAAATCGCTTGGCATGGCAAACTTTTCATATCCTGCCGCTGCCCACTGAGGCGTCGTTTCTATTTAATGCATGTTGTTGTTATTCCCCAGCCCTCAAGCAAACAAAAAAAAAATAAAATATGAAAAAAAGCCGACAAGAGTTGCAATGCGCTTTCATCTGTGTAAATTTAAAATTAATGTGCTTGATATTGTTGTTGTTATTTATGCCTCTGCTGCTGCTGCTGCTGCTGCTGCAGCTGGCTGAATCGACAAGTGCCCTGCTCACTGAATGCTTTAGAACAATAACGCTGCTTGTTGAGCGGATTATTAAAAATTCAACAATTGATTAAACTCGGCGCTGGGCAATTTAAAGCCGTAAGAACTCGGAGCTCGCCTGCCTCCGCCATCCAACTGCAACGGCAATCGCAGTTGTGATTGCAATTGTGACTGCATCCGCTTTGATGTCGAAGCCAAAACAACATGCAGCTAGGAATTGGCTCGATGCAGGCTCGCCATTTATTTGGCTCCGACTTGTTGTTGGACATTTGCCAGGCTCGAACTCGTCATGCCGTTGGCTTGTGGCCCTGGACAAATAATGGAAGTGTCCCCATTTGCGGTTAACTTACCCTTGCAGGGGCAGAATCCCTTGCAGCCGATCCGTATGGCTGTCGAGTGTATGCAATTGTGATAATCCAATCTGCATAGTGATGAGTAGGTCCTGTTGTCGGCGCCGCAAAGGAACATTGGCTTGGCCACGGGACACGGCTTGCAATTGCTGTCGGGAATAGAGTTAGAGAGAGTGGGAAAAAAGAAATCAGCACAACAAACTCAGCGGAGCGAGATGAAGGCAGCAAACAACAAATAGATGACATGCAAAATTAATTTTTTATGCAAATTACGTCTGGCAGGTGAAACCTGCAGCTGCCCGTGGGCCCGAACGGCGCCGCCTCACATCTTCTTTAAATATTTATTTAATATGCAACGCACGCGCTCCCAGGCAAACAGGCTGGCATTGCTGTCAGAGATCAAAAGCACTTATAGCTAGCTGCCTGGCCTGGAACCCCTTTCCAGCCATCAGCAGGCATCTTTTTCCATATTTACTTATATTTTTTTTCTCTCCTCTTATTTTCTTTTTTATAATTTGTGCAAATATTTGAGCTGTCAGGAAACGCGACGCGGATTTCGACATTTTTCCTTAAGCTTGTAAATTGAAAGAAATGTAAGATAATTGGGCTTACAGCTTCTGTTGTTGCCTCCCTTTAAGAGAGTTTTCTGTGTTTTATTGCAGTTCCTAAAATATATAAAATATTCACGTACTCGGCTAACTTTATTAGATTATAGAATTGAAATTATTGTAAGCCGGTGTTAATTATAGTAAACACGATTCATTTATAATATTCACACCTTGTTTTACACGCAGCTCTGCTTCTTTTTTGTCGTATTTCATAATTTACATTTAATAATTTACGACGTACACGCATAATTAAGCCCTTTACACACACAGCGAAAAAAATGCATAAATAATAAATTCAATTAATTGTTGCATCCGCTGATGCCGACGTATACGTAATTTATCTATATAAAAAAAAGAAACTTGTTTCGGGATTGCTGTTCAATGAGTTTTATTGGTTGACTCGGGATAAGCAGTAAATTGAGTGTATATTTTTCAAGTCCTTTGCATAATATTTATTTTTATCACTCGAATGCGTTTTAATTGTTTTGCAGGAGCTGCGAATTGAGCGTGCGAATGAACTCCCAGGGAAAAATTGGTAAGTATATCAGTTTAAATTCTTAAGAAAGGAAAAATAAAGAAATCGGAATTGGCAGAGAAAAATTTAATTATTTAACTCTGATGATTCGGAATCAAACTGAAGTGTAAACTACGCCACTATGAAATTGAATTAAAAAAAAAAAAAATAAACTTGATATTTATGCAACACACGAAGCAGTAGCAATAAATAGAGAATAAAACAAAGTTGAAAATTGCTGAGAGCATCTGAAATGCGAAATTATTGCAGCCAACATTTGCATTGCTTTTGCAGTTATCCAATATCGCAGCTAAGCCAAGGCAAACAAATGATTGGCCAAAAAAGCATATTCTTGATATAGCTAGTGGAGAGAGTGAGAGAGCGAGGGAATGGGTGTGAGAGGGAGAGCGAGAACGAGCTATAAATTCAATTAAAAAAGGGTCTTTCAGCTTTATTCGATTTTTTTTTTTTCGTATTCCACTCAAAGATGAATCTGCTATTTAAATTTTACCCCAACTGAGAGCTACAATTGCGTCATGGGCCGACAACGACGACACATTTGTTGGCAAGTTTGGGTCAATAGCTGCTGCGGTTACTTTGGCTGTTGCCTGCTGTGAAAATTTGTGAATTTTTACTCAAATATTTGCTTTCAATTTTGAACCACACAGGCGCACACACCGAGCCAGGTGAAACGAGGTGGTTTGGCTGCACCAACTGTTGGAGCTGCCTTTGAGCCACTGATGCTGACAGCTTCATAAGCATAGGGCAAAAAGCAGCTCAGTGGTTTCAAATAGCTGCCACCAGCAGCCGCATAGCCGAGCTGAGGCTGTGCTATGCTGAGGTAAGAGGACAACTATGTGAACACCGCCCCAGTGTGCTGGCTTTATGGTTTTGCCAGCTAAAAGCCGCAGCACGGGCCATATTGTTACAAGAAACAATGCACGACTATATGAGTTATGAGCGTTGGAATGTGTGTGTGTGAGTGTGTGCGTATGAGTGTGTGTGTGTGTGTGTGTGTGTGTGCGTGTGCCTTACACTGGTTTACAGTCTATATCAAGTGCCCCGCAAATCTGTGCCCCTATCAACCGCAGCAAGTGGGCCATAGGCGAGGCAAATCTTTTGTTTGAGCCGTGCCGGATTGAAGAACTGAGGCAACGGCAGCTAGCACGGAATAGCAGATAAATTGAGCGCGCGAACTATTGATTTTGTTAGCTCAATGTTTCCTGGGCACAGCCACACAAACGTTAACATCAGAGACCCCCCCCTAAACAGCCACCACAGTCATAGTCACATTCTCATTCTAGTTCTCTCTCTCTCTCTCTCGACTTGGGTTCTCCAAGTGGCATACAAAGTCTACGCCATTGACATAGATACACGTCTGTTGTGCACAAAAGCGAAATTCTCGTGAAAGCAAATTGAAAAGAAAATGCGAAAAATATGTCAAAAGCCATTTTTTAATATCGGAAGGCGTGGCAAGACTCTCAATGTGCCGATAGATAGATTGATTACGCGGCCATTAACAGGCACAATAGAGGCCAAGTGGCACAAGGCAAAACGTAAACAAGAATCAAAATACACGAGATGATTAGGAAAATTAAATATTTGACTTAATTGCATAGTTTTGATTTATATTCTATATTATAATGAGATCAAATTTATATGTTGATATTTTATTATTTACGACTTGAAATATATGATGATGCTCCAATTTTCAATTTGCTTAATTAAAATTGAAATGCAGCAAAGAATATGTTGCGGATATTTAATATTGAATAACGTGAGTCGTTAACGAACTCTCTGCTCGTTTATCCTGAGTCCTTGACATTTACAATGTGTAGTATAAATTTTGTGTACTCTCGCTTGACTAATGGAAAATTCTTTTAAATTCTTTTACATACGAGCAAAATAATAATTTAGTTCTCTGTGGCATTGAAGCACTAGAATAAAGTTAATACTATTTATTTTCCAAGTGCCTTAAACATAATGGGATCCTGACCCATATCGTCTACATTTACAGGGTTGTCCATATTCGACGAACCCATCTGGCAACTCTATATCTTTTGAGACGGCCATTTGAGAGTTATAATATTTAAAAATTGATGTCAATAGATCTACTTGAAGCAACAAAAGAATTATTATCATCAATATCTACCCCATTTCTTTTAATTAAAAACAACAAAAAATATGGGTCAGTCGAACATGGGCTGCCTTTCAGGGTTGCCAGATGGGTCTGTCAAATATGGACAGCCCTATATTATCTAATTTCACATTAATAATTGGCTCGCCTGCTAAATCTTTACAAATTAAATCTTACACAAAATGAATTTTTAGTGCTTTCAGTTGTTGGGCTGCTGTGCCAACGCTTAAGGACACTTTAACTAATTCGAAGAAAAATGTAAGGATTTTACGAGTAACAGAGCCCGAGATGCCGCAATGTATTCATGAAAATTAATTTTCCACTCAACAAACTGCTATCAGCAGATAAAGAAAACTTTCCGCTATGCCCGGCTAAACAGGCACCTGCCGGTGCCGCAGCTCCCCAAGGAGCCGGGGCAGCCAGGGGAAGCTTGAAATTAAATTTAAAGCAAAAAGCAAACGGATAAACAAGCCGAAGCCAAGAATAAACAAACGCAAACTTGGGGCCATGATTTTTGCCAGCAAACAGGCCTAAGACGGCTAAGAAAAACAATTTTGCCACGGCCCCGACCACGACTCGGGATGCGCTGGCTGATAATCTTAACACGGGTTCCTCAAAAGCTTTTGGCGTGCGGCAGCTGTGTAAATATGTTTTCCTAATAGTGACAACTGCTATCGATTATGTATAGAGTGCAGCTGCTCTATGGGCTGCATATCAATTGGATGAGGAGTGTCGAGCAGCAAACATTCTGTTTCCGACACACGACAGGCATTCCAGCGGATATTGATGTTTAGAAAATGGTGTACAACTTTCCGGCCCAGCTGGGCACGTCAACACGTCGGAAATAGGCCAGCTCGCAGTGATAGTTATGGTCAACAATCGCTAGCAATTGAGCCTTGGCCCAGCAGCGTTGACTTTGACTTCATTCCTGGCTGTCGTCGCACCTGAGGCCCGCTCCCCGCTCACTTTCGCTCACACTCCGGCGGAAATTCTTTGCATTTGCGCTCGCGTGCGAATTCACAATTTGGGTTAGGGTCAGGTCAGAGCGATAATGTTGTACAAGTCAAAGGAAACGACTAGGGCGACTGTGACAAAGGGTAAAAGGCCGTAAAGCTGTCGTTTCAGGCGATTCCACTGAAAGGCCCACAGCAGCAGACATAAACAAATATCAGCAGCGCTGACGCGGCACAATGCGAACGGATAAGTACGGCCAGGCCAGGGGCCGACTGGAGTGAAATGCGTGCTAAAAATTGTACTTTACTGTCGAATTTGTATACACCATAAAACAATTTGTTATTAGCGTGCCGGTCATGCAAATCACAAATTCGTGGAGCTCAGCCTTGGCAGGCCGCCTTAGATATGAGGTAGCCGCGCCCTCTCCCCCCCGCCACACCAATGATGCTCAACCCTTTCTTGGTTTTTTTCCTACGGCCAGCACCCGCAAAGTGAATGCGAATTTGTTAAATGAATTGTAAGAATTCCATTGATATGGAATGCCCCAGGGAAAAGGATTGAGCCTCGACTACTCACTCCAACTCCTCGTCGTCGTCCTGCTGGACGGCTGCTGGTTTCGGGAGCAGCTGCTGCTTATCGCTGGCGGCAATGTTGTTCTCGTAGAAGACGTCGTCCTCCTTGGACTCATCATCGTCGCCTAGGCTCAGGCTTTTATCTTCGTCGTCGTTGTTGTCCTCATTGCCCTGGTTGTTTGCTACGATGTTGTTGTTCTTATTGCCGTTGTTGTTGTTGTTGTTGCTGTTGCTGTTGCTGTTGTTGTCGCCGTCGCTACTGTTGTCCTCATCATCGTTGTTGATGTCCTCAACATCCTGGCTATCGTTATCCTGCTGATTGACACGCCGCTTGGCCTCATCCTCCAAATATTTGGCCTTAGTGATTATCTCATCGCTGGAAGAACAAGCAGAGGGTTAAGCAGGTTCGGCTCTTGCACCACAGGCGCAAATAATCAAGTTTTAATTTAATTAGTTTATTAAGTTTGGCGAACAACACAAATTAGAAAACACGCCCACGGCTGCTCACCGATTCTTGTGCAGCTCCTTCTTCGACACGCAGACAGCACTGAACTCGTCCTCCAGCAGGCAAATTTCGCGTTTCTTACAGTTGAGCGGCCGGCAAAGGTCACCTGAGCGAGACATTTCATTTGAATTAAAAACAAAAAGAAGAGAAAAGAAACGAAAACAAAACAAAATGAAATTATTGCCCTAAGTTTGCTGTCTCCTTTATGGCTACTCACTTGATGGATCATGTATCCAGCGCTTGCGATCTCCCAGGTTTTTGTTGTTCTGCGAGTTTTTGTTTATCTAAGGACAGGAGTGAGAACGAAATGGAATGTTTGATTAATTCACATTGTGAGGGAAATATGTTATGCCTTAATTTCTTTATTTAAATGCAAAAAATGCAAAGCTTTCATTCATGTCAGTTACCAGACGCATATCACAACACACACACACACACACACACACACACACACACACACACACTAGAGATATATGCACGTCTGACGGCATACTATATGTAAAGCGAAAGCGTGTCGTATACGTAATATACAAATGAGAGCAGCAGCAGCTGCCATCGTAGCTGCCAGGCGCTTCTCGTTGCTACACACTGGCAAAATGCTTTTGACGGGCTTATTGTTTTAAAGATTTTAGCAAATTGAAAAATTCAATAATGAAATGAAACAAGCTAGCAGAGGAATATAGAAAAAAGCATTTGCATTTTGAGTGGTTAAAAAAAAAAAGAATTAGAAACGAATAAAAGCTTCCAGTTTGTAATTGTATTTATTTTTTTCTGTTGCGTCAAGTCAATTAGGCAATTGATTTGGATTAGATTTTCCCATAAGCTTGATTATAATTCATATTTTCCAATGTTTGGCTGTCAGCTTAATCGGATCAGAAAAAATATTGCCATGGACTGAAAGGTTAGGGAAAATCAATATAAATTTAGTTTAGTAAATTCATGAATAATATGAATTTTTTATTTATTTATTTTTATGCATTTTTCCACTTGAACAGCATCATACAGAGCTTAGGCTATGAATTCATTATACATAATATACAGTATAATGTATCAAAAACATAATATATGTAATTTCTAATATTATAATAAACGTCTTTTGCATATCAACTGAATATAATTTTGCGCTCTAATTGCAGAGAGATCTATGCAAATTTAATTCAATTTTATTGTTTGTGCAGAAGCAGGCAAGACTTCGCCTTCGACTCCGCCTTCGACTCCGCCTTCGACTGCGACTTCGACTCCAACAACTCCGACTCCACATCTCCATTGCATATTCGTGGCAATATCTTATTAGGGGCAATGGCGCGTATGAGCAATACTCAATTTGACTCTGAAATATGGTCGAGCAAACAGCAGCAGCTGTAACAATATTACCCTCCGACTGGCACTTGCTTTAAGCCCATAAAACAACCAAAGCGCTCCCTGTCGCTGTTGCGACTCCCATGCGACGGCAGCGCCGTGACTTGACAGCTCTGCAAAGCGCGGCACCCGAAAGCCTGCACTGGAGGATCGACGATGCGACAGCGGACAGCGCAAAAAACGTGAGGGAGCTGGAGTAGTGCCATGGCCGCTTTAAGCGGACAGTTGCTAAATTGGCAAGTTAACTAGGTAGCTGCCAGCCGGCGTCAAGCAGGTCAAGCGTTGACCCCGTTCATGCTCAATACACACGGCCAATTCGACGGACACGCATTTGGCATCGGCGAGTGCAAAATGGCAATTGCGCTTTTTACAATTGCCACACATCTACAAGCACATGCACATACACATGCACATGCACACACACATGCACATGCACACTGTCGTCCATCGACGTCTACGCTGGCTGCTGTAATGCAATAAAGTCGTCCGGGGCGTGGACTCTGGCAATTTGCATGCGTTAAAATGCAATTTGTGCGCGTTTCCTGGCCGCGGTTTGCTGCGCCACACCCCTCTGAGAATCGCGCCTTTGTCCGTTCGCGGTAGTCGGGTGATATTTAAAGCGCACTCCGCCCGCTGTGCCGGCCAGCATTGTGCGGGGCCAGGAGTCCATTTAGCTCTGCGGGTGTCGACGTTGATTGGGTCGGTCAGCAATCTGCTGCACTGCGCCTTTGTTGGCTTTAATTGCGCTTCGTTTGCGGCGGGCAGCAGCCGATTGGCCTTATTGTGGCTGAAAGATGATGCCGAAGCGTAATCAACTCCGGCAGCTACTTAAATAGGCCGTAAGTCCCGCCATCAAGCCGAGAGTTGGCTCTTTAACTGGGTCACAGCTGCTGCAGGCGCTCGGCTGCTGCTCCTGCTCCTGCTCCTGCTGCAGCAGCGGGCAAGGGCCTTGCTTAGGGCCCAAAATGCGCTCTCGCGTTATGCAAGCACAGCAGGAAATGGTGTCGCAGTCGAATGCACTTTAGCTACGCGCTCTGCCGCCAGCATCCACGCCGCATCCACGCTGCAGCCGGAGCCGGCAGTTTAACCTCTTTGCCAGATTTTTGACTGTTTAAGTGGCTGGGCTTATTAAAGTCCATTTAATTACTGCGCTCGGCTGGCGCCTCGTCGCCTCTGACTCTGTGCAACTTGACCTTAATTCTGGCCGGCTCTGCTGCCGCTCCTCTCGGCAGATGCTGCCAGCGAATGCCCAGCACGTTTCTGTTAAATGCGAATGTAGCAAAAATAAAATAAAAGAGGGGGAAAAAAATGGCCAGAAAAACAAAAATTGTTGTACACGTCATTTTGTTGCAGCTGCAGCTGCAGCGCCACGCCCACAGCGATGCGCCCACCGGCAGCCACACTGTGGCAATCTGTCAAGCTTTAAATTGAATTTACGACTTTGTTTTCGTAGCGGGTTTATTTCTTATTCTTTTTACTTATTTTCTCTACGCTCTGCGCTGCTCCGCAAATTCTTTATTGTTTTCCTTATGCAGCCGCCAAGGATAACAAACGATTCCGGGCGGCTGCTGCTCCTCTTTGTGGGACTGCACTGTAGCCGCACTGCGACTGCCGCGCCATTTCGTCTGTCAGTTTGGGTTGCATTATGCAAATGCAATTTTTATTTAGTTATATGCAGTTGCTGCTGATTTCCTCGGCTTGTCCCATGCGACTCTACTCTTTTATTGAAAACTGCATTTGAGAGACCCAGATTTGCGGTAAGAAAGACTTCGTTATGTGTACTTTTGATCAGTAGAAGAAACTGAATCAGTACTATCTAATATTTGCTATGAGAAACAGTTTATAGTCTTACATGGAAAGATTTCTTGATCAGTAGAAGAAACTGAATCAGTATCAGTATCTAATATTTACAGTTTATATTCTTACATGGAAAGAGTTCTTGATCAAAAGTCTAAGCTGCACAATATATGTTACATTATACTAAAATTTCATGTATGCAGACAAAGTTTCCATTTAATATTTACTTATTTATTTTGGGGGTCTCATTTGAATATGAATATTTACAAGGTTTCTTTAATAGTAAAAAAATAGTAAAGTTACTTTTATTTAAACATGTTAATTGAAATATCTTTAATTTTTCCACTTTTTTTCAATAAGTTTCAACAATTCTAAGGTAATGAAAAGCCTAGAATAAAAAGTTTATAAAATAAATTATAGTATTGTAACTGAAATCCAAAACTTTTATAATTCTTTATTCATATAAATCTTATTAGAACTCAAATTTCTATTTCTATTCCAATTATATATGTATATTCACTGGAATTCATCCATATACCCTATCTCTACTTTTGCACGAAACTATGTAAATAGGAGTGCGAGCAGAGCAGAGCTGACTCCGTTCTACTTTTTGACAGTTCACTCCTGTGCCAAGCTTGTAAAACGCTTATCAGATATTCACAATTCTCTCTCTCTCTAATTGGAATCACATGGACAGTATAGAAAGCTCTTGTTTTGTGCACGAATTATTAGAGCAGGGTCAGTTGAGCTCTTTTATATCAATTCGGGATTATGTCGAATCAGTAACCTAAATGGAAAAGATGTTAAAATGCACATTGAACGGAAACTAATCCTCTTACAAACACTTAAAAGAACAAAAAATTCATTATGCAAACGCTCGTGTTTAATTAATGTTTCTATGCAACTGTGTGTGCGTGTGTGTGCGTGTGTGTGTGTGTGCAGCTTATATGAGAGCAATGTATTGTGCATTTAGGTGTCCCATATTACAAATGGTTTGTGTAATGCATTGCCAACCAACAGAATTTATAATTAATGGGCCGCATCACTGGAATGTGATATGCACATATTTTCGTGGATGCTTTAAGTGCTGCAATAAATATTGCAAAAACTGGAAACAAATTAACTGAAGATGCCTTAGGTAATCAGACATTGGCTCAATAACTTTTGGCAAATCATCATCAAAGAAGTTTAAATTTTAGCTACAAACTTTTTTCCCTCTTAATTTAAGCTTATATTTTATTTGCAATCTATTTTAGCTGCAGCCATAACATGATTTAGTTTGCTGTAGTTCCCATCCCTCAATCGAAAGTCACTCATGTCGAATTCTATGGAATTTAAGTGCATGTAGTTTATTATGCAACTGAGCTGGAGCTTCCTTCATTTGCAATCAGCTTAAATCTGTCAGCATTCCTCATTGCCATTGAGCTTCGCTGGGTTTATCGATTTCAAATTAAATTTCGCAAATAGTTTTGATTGGGCTCGCAATTAACTTGTGATGTGCTCTGACCTGACCCACCATGTCCTGCTCACTGCGATTTAGAAAACCTCTATGATACAGCTCATAGAGAATATGCGAAATAATAAATACGCTTTGGCGCTGAAATTGTTGTAAATTATGCTGCGGCCGCTGTTCGAATGCCAATGATGCGGCCCGGAGATGCAATATTTTCGCTTTGTTAGCTGCTCTGCTGCTGCTGCGGCAACCATAAACTAGGCACCGTTGAGCATGATGATGCGGAGCATATTAAAAGCCACAAATATTGAGGTCCGCGTCTATGTGCATAACATTTGAAAATATTGCGGCTGTGGCTAGCGTGAATCGCATGAGTTGTGGCAATTAGGGCAAAGTGTATCTGTTTCCAGTGGGAGGATTATCAATGCCGACCCACTCACTGGCTGACTGGCTAACTGATTGACTGACTGACTGACTGGCTGACTCACTGAACTGAAGTTTTGGTCCATAAATTATGCATTGCGCTTTAAAAATACATTAGGCAGTCATGGCTGGGCCTAAAATCATATACGTAGAATGGGATGCTGATGCACTCGGATTATTATCAATGTATGTGTGGGCCAGCGGCCATTTTGTGGCCTTTATAATGGCTCGGGTGGGCCGCATGAATTGCGC